ATATAGATCTATATATATATATATGCACTATCCAGTTTTTTTTGTTTTTGCCCTTTTTTAAAGATGTTTGTCTTGAGAGGAGACAGGACTCTTCTTCGCGCTCCATCGTTCTGAACGCTCTCCGAAAAGTTTCGTTCTTGAAAACTTTAGTTTTAACAAGAGTTTTACAGAACTTGCAACACAGTAAGGTCATAGAACCTAAGCGCCGAAGATGAGAGATGTTGCAAGAGAGTAACAAACACACCAAAAAAAAAATAATGAGGAGAGATCAGGACAATAGATCATGTGTATAACAAACCACCCGCTTGAAAATTTTCCCTTTGCCTTTATAATAATGATAAAGAAAATTGCTGACTCGAACTTGGTGTGGATATAAGATTTCTTGACCGTATCAAATTAATCCTGTACATTACTATACCAGTCTCAATCAGCTCTTCTTTAACGACGTGACGAGGATTTGTAGAACTCTAACAACTGAACTGTGAACATCAAACTTGGCGAGTTCCACAGAACAAATGCGACCCATTACACAGCATCTCGAGGTCAAGCTAACGGGGTCAAAAGTTCACCACAAATGGACAAACTCTTTCGACGAGGAATCAGAAGCTTTCTCGTTTGTTGAAAGCGGGGATACAGCATACAATCAATCACGGCCACGCTGAGTTCTTCGCGCGAAATCTTGGAAATTTTGTTGATTCCAGAATAGAAAAACAATTATAAAAATAGTACTGTTCAAGCATTTAGATCTATAGAAGGGAATGTTTGCATTAACCCATACCTTTCACAGAGGTAAGCGAAATGCATATAGTGGACCTAGAAATTCTAGAGGCTAGAATAAAACTTACACGAGGATGAACATAAAATCTTTGAGAAACGATCTAGAATCTAGATCTAGAGCATGTTTCTGTGTAGGCCCTAAAGTACCATGAATAAAATCTAAATCTAGATCTAGATCTAGATCTAGATTTAGATCTAGGTGTATAGATTACTTTTTCTAAAAAGAAAATTTCAAAACTTTACTTACCAGAATTGGCATGTAGACATTATGCGTTCTTCACTTTCGACTTTTCAAACTCCAATCATCTTTTGAATAATAATACACTCCTTTTGACAAACAGAAATAAAACAAAATATTCACTTCAAGTCCAGGATCAGCTCTTTATCCGAGCTTTCGTTGATTTGTATAGATCAGCAAACCTCACACCACCGTGTTATCAGCAGTCTGTGGTGCTCACCACAACCCGGGGGCTGAGTTTCGAGGAGAAGCGTCGACGGTGGCGGGGAGCGAGAGGGACGCTGGTGTTTCCAGTGTAGCAACTTCTTCGCCAAGGTGCCGAAAGACGGGCTCACGGCGCTCGCCTGCTCACGCGAGGCGGGTTCCTGTTTTACAGACAAACCTTTCGCGCATCTGCTGGGGAAAGATCCTACCCCTCCTGCATGTATGTATGGCACGCCGACGTGGTCAGAATGTTATACATGCTGCGAATTTAGGAAACGCTACAGAGGAGTGAAACAAGGTTACGTCCTCTCTCCCTACCTGTTTAATGAACATTTAGATCTACAGAGAGTTTATTTTTAGAGAATCTCAAGACCTGCAGGGAGTCACTATTGGGCGCCGCAACATCAGTAACCTGAGAAAGCAGATGATACAGTCCTGCTTGCAAACACCATCGAAAATCCTTCTAAAATTGTGAAAGTAGTAAAAGTGAACAGCCGCAAGGTTGGCCTCGATATGAACACCAAGAAAACAAAAACAATGGTTCTATCAAAATCAACTGGAAAAACAACGAAATATAGCCATAGAAGGGAAGAGAAGCAAACAAGTACAAGGATTCAAATATCTAGGTGAAACAGTCGCAGACAATGGTAAAAGTGAAAAAGAAATATAAGCATAAGAACAGCAAATGCAAAAAACAAGATTCAGCAAAATGCACAAACGCACAAACTTTTCAACTCCAGATTTAACTATCTCTCACTCTAAGGAAGAAAATTCTGAAATGCTACCTCTTCCCCATATTCCTATATGGTGCTGAGACCTGGACATTGGAAAAAAAAGAAGAAAACAAAATAGCTGTATTTGAAATGTGGTGTTACAGTAAAATGGTCAGAATACGTAGGAGAGAAAAAAAGGGGAAAAATTAAATGTGTCAAATTCTCCACACTACACAAACTCTGTCTAATAAAACAAAATTCTGGAAAAAGCAATACTATGGCCACTTAAAACGACACAACACCATTGTGAAAGAGGTGCTTGAAAGAAGGATGTGGGATAGAAGAGCCAGGGGAAGACAAGGAGTAACTTGGATGGACAACACAAAAACGTGGACTGGACTGGATGTGGCAGTGCATGCGACGGCAGCTCGCGACCATGAAGGACGGAGGGTCATTACGCGTCAACCTCTGAGTCAGAGATGACACCTCCAGAAATCCAAATAATTTATAGTAGACGCTGTAATCGAATTTTAATGCTAATTGTGCACCGAGTCGTGAAGCAAAAGGCTGTGCAAATAATCACAAATAAAACACACCCTTTTAATGTCAGAACTAATGTAGAAGACGAATGAAATACATGTAACACAAAACGTGTCGGAAAGTGCACCGAACAACATCGCGTGTAATTTATTGATTCTTGAAAGCAGGGACCGCCAGATTATGTTACCGCGAAGGAGAAAAAAATGGAAGATGTGTTTGTAGCACACTCGATCAGGACTTGGATCACAAAGATAACTGAATTATTTTGGTGAACTCGACAGTGTAAATGAAACATCTATTGCTTTATAACTTATAGCAAATGTATCACACTCTTGCTCGGCTCTAATGGGACAAATCTTTCCTTCTTTGTTTTATTTTTGGTAAGTGTTTTAAGGCGCTCGCAACTTCATAAGGGCTTATGAGCACACGGGTCATATTAGACATTTTCAGTTGGCAGGAAATTTTCAATTTTACAGGCGTGGCGGCCGAAGCCTACTCTTATCAATTTTGGACCACCAAGGGATTTTTAACTGCGCAACTTGCACACAGGACCTTCAGGATTTTTTCCCTTATCCGAGAAGTTCACGGGTAAGGGATCATTTTCAAATTGATGTGAGTAGGCAGCTTCATTAGATATAAATGGTCCTTTTCGAAAATGGCAGAGTAAATGTCTCAGAGGTTAGAATTAAGTAGGGTGTACATAAAACACTCTGAAATAAAGATAAGACTATACACCAGACGGTATTTCCACCTTCAAAGAGGATTGCGGCTTCTGCGGGTGTGTGCCTTTAGTCCAATTAGGAGCACAGTCGCCCTCCCCCCTCCAAAAAGCCGCCAAATGTTTGCCTATGTTGAAGTCACTCAGGGCACTCCTGCCGACAGACAGGCAAGATAAGAAGGCGATTGCGCAGTTCTAATCAAGGGCCATATTGATAATGAGTCAGGAGAACCCACGCTGTTCTCTGAAGAACAGATAAATGGCTCTGGAAGACCGCGTAGAGACTGTACAGGATACATCCAATGAGCTTAGAACTACTGTAAATTCCTTGGATACATCCCAACTCACTCGTCAATACGGTGTCAGCTCGAGCTGTATGATGATAAAAATTAATAACCCGCGGGGGAGGGGGGGGGGGGCTTTCGTGGTTTACAGTTACGACGTTTGCCTCTCAGTCAAAAGGTTCAAGGATCATAGTAAAGAGCCAGGCATAGGAGTAGAAAGAGGGGGAAGACAGTAGATATCAAAGCAGACGACAGAGAGGACTATAGTAGAACAGAACAGTAGAAGAGAACAAAGGAGAACGCTTTGGAGAACATGTTTTTCCGTGTAGGCTCCTTATCGTGTTTTTCAACCACATCCCTGATCCTAAAGTACGGTATGCAAGATCGAACATAGCCTCTTTGGCTGAGGGCGCCAAATCTCAGCGGTCTGATGTGCAAGTTGCGACGTTACAGCAGATCTCTTAAAAGTCATTCATAAGAGCGAGAAGAGTAAGCTTCACTATCGAAACTGAAAATACTCGGGTCGGTGTACAAAAAGAACTTTGAAATGGGAATGTATTGCCTGAAGGCAAGGGACCCACGACGTATTGAAAACGTTCACATACGTAAAAATCAGTTGCATTGCTGACTGCAGAAGCAACAGTTAACTGCCCTAGTATGAAGAAGAAGAGGAAGAAGAAGAAGAAGAAGAAGAAGAAGAAGAAGAAGAAGAAGAAGAAGAAGAAGAA